TCTTCAAGGATACCTAAATTTAGATACCTAACGTACTAGTTCACATGCACCTCTGATATGTGTCGAAGCAAGCTGCGTAACGAAATACACGCAGATGTTGGCATACTTTGATGTCGTAAGGTTATCCTCATCAGTCATTAGTTGCGGTATGCTGGTTCCGCTCTAGGCGTTGAAGCGTTGGACACGCATCGGCGCTTGCAGCCCATAACACTTCACACGAAAGTGAATAAATGAGTGAGTGAGGATTTACGCCGCTTTTAGCAATATTCATGCAATATCACGGCGGGGGACACCAGAAATGGACGTCACCCAATTGGGGAATCGTACCCGGGTCTCCGGCTAGACAACCGAACGCTTTAACCTCCATGTTAACCTACCTCCCTCCACCAGCAGTGACGTAAGTTACGTATACAAGGTTTTCATTCAATAAACTGACCTTTGGCCAAGGCGAAGGCCATCAGAGGAATCACTGAAACAAAATTTCAAAGAAAAACCCGCTTCGATTCACCTTTACAATAAGTACAGTAATGCGACCATCATAATCCGGCTCGTATCCTCAAGATGTCCTGACCTTCACATTCAACTTGCTGTCGTTAATACTGAAAGTATTGATTCTGACTGACTGACTGACTGAGACTGGTTTTACGCCGCTTTTAGCAATATTACAGCAACATCACGGCGGGGGACACCAGAAATGGGCTTCACACATTGTGCCCATGTGGGGATTCGAACCCGGGTCTTCGGCGTGACGAGCCAACGCTTTAACCATTAGCCTACCCCGCCGCCCCATTGGGTGTTCATAGCGTGAAGAATGTTTATTTGTTAAACAGACGTTAGATGATCTCATTTCCTACCTCAGATAGCTTCAGATTAAATTCCCTACACCGAATAGACAACTAAGATAACTGATGTTAGGGACCATTCATAATTTATGGGTAGGGGGGTGATGATGATTTTTATTGAGAAGCATGTACAATGTGAATGACACCTCTCAATTTATGTACAAAGTAAGTGAACCCCTGCATATCATGTACAAAATCAATTATGCCCACCCCACCCAACCCCACCCTTCCCTATCCATAGCATAATTTTAAAATATTTATGTACAAAATTGCTGACCCCCTCTAATTGATGTGTACAAAATCTATGACACCACCCCCACCCCACCCCCACCCCACACACCTAGTCCCTTATTTTGAGACAATATTGACACCTGGTGTTCGCAAAATGGTATGCATGTTCTGCCCTGCCAGTAGCACTGTCAACTCACCAAATTTGCTTAACAAATGGGCTCGATAACTAGCGCAAGGCACCAGTACTGTTATGCGACGATAGAAACAAACCAAACAATCAAGTGATTGATTGATTGTGTGAGTGAGTTTAGTTTTACTCGGCTTTTAGTAATATTCCAGCAACATCACGGCGGGGGACACCAGAAATGGGCTTCACACATTGTACCCATGTTGGGAATCGAACCCAGGCCTTCGGCGTGACGAGCGGACGCTTTAACCATTAGGCTACCCTACCGCCCCAATCAAGTGATTGACCAATGTTTCAGAACAGAGCTTCGGTGACAGTACCCTTGTACTTCGTTCGACTCACCTCAGCAAATCTGCAGCCTGGTGATTTTCTCGCATGTGTGCCCGGCTGCCTGTTGAAACAGTCTCCATTGATCGCTGGCTGCAGATGACACGGGAGCCGTGCCATTCCGATTCGATTGGTGACATACGCGTTTATGTTGTGATCAATCCACCGTCGGCCTCAGATAACATATCATATTATGGGAAATAATTCTATTGCTTATCAGAAACTATAACAGAAACTATTGAATGTGTAAACATGAAGCTGAAATCAATTTGTGTTCAAAACCTGCCATCCCTCCGTGCCAGGCTGAGTATTTTATGACTGCTTCTTTCACCAAAAAGGACGGATTTTCATCTGAAGAAAAAAATCCCTCGCGCAATTGACAGTATTCGTATATTTAAATCTGTTGACTGCCCGTGAGACGTTTCAAAATCGCATTTGTCTGAAACTTGTTTTAGATCGGAGAGATCAGCGCACTACTGAGTGTATGTTAAAAATGGCTCCTTTTCCGCGTGAAATTCCGAACTTCGGAACAACTAACAATGTTTATTCCACCCTTTATACTTTGCATGTATCAGGGGCGTAGGAACAGTTTTCAGAGCGTGTGTGTGTGTGTGTGTGTGTGTGTTTTAATTTATGAGAAGTATTGAAAATCAAAATGAAAATGTAGTTATATTAAGGTAGATATGGTTTCGTCCCCCTCCTACGCCCCTGTGTATTAAGTATACTTTCCATGACTATAGGCTACCTCTGAACCAGCTATTAAGTATACTTGTACATTATTGTCCCCCCAATATGGTACGTAAGATCAACGCATTCAAAGTATATTCCTATTTTAACTGCAGAATATTGTTTACTTTTAATCTCTGGCTAAACTTGCAACAATCGCCAGTAAGTGAGGAAGAGGTATAAATCCGGCTAGGAAGCTGTGAGGGAAGCAGGGGTACCGGAAGTCCCCATACCATGGCCACAGCCCCTCGTGTCTGTGCGAGGATTAAAGGTTTTTTCAATATTTTAAATTTTGAGATGACCCGACTCGAAATGCTTTACAGTACGATAAGTCGTGATTCATTGTACTGTGAAGCATTTCGAGTCGTGGGTCATCTCAGATTTTTAAAACTCTTTAATCCTCGCAATGACAAGGAAGGGATGTGCCCCTAGCCCCTAGCATGGTGATCGTACCTTTCTTCCCGGTGATCTATAACCCCAATTTTACTTTGTATCGTGATCGAATATTCAGATAATATTTCTATTTTTTCTTCGACTAGTTTTAAACATTTTGTGATATATTGCTGGTTATTATACTGTCCTGACAGTTTTTAAGGTATAGTAAGAGCAAAGTAGCCCCAGCTGAACCCAACATCCATCCCTATGTACTTGGTGTACCCTAAGGGATCCGGACTGATGGAACTTGTATTTTAAGTGCTTCCATGGTGTAGGGGGTCGAGGGCCCGCAGAGATGAAGGTAGATGGTTCGATCCAAAGCTTTGTGTTACAGAAAATCCTTATAAACCAACTGGTTGTTGTTATCCTGCGTGACGCTCGGCATTTAGGGGAGACTTACGAAGGTGGTTAGGTAGTCTAGTGGTTAAAGCGTTCGCTCGTCACGCCGATGACACAGGTTCGATTCCCCACATGGGTACAATGTGTGAAGCCCATACCTGGTTTGCTCCGTACTGATATTGCTAAAGCGGCGTAAAATCACTCACTCACTAAAACCGCGGCAAGATATCTTAGTGTGCAGGTGCATTAAAATCCGGACTTGTGCAAGACACTCCCCCATCCCTCCTTCAACTCACACATATACACTGCTGCTATTTTAGTATTACGCCCGGGGAGCAGTAATTCTTGCGGTGGGGGGTATCTTTCCATAAGACAGACCTCCCAAAAGACAGACCGCTTAAAACAACACATTTTGTGGTTGGTTGCATAAGGCTTAATTAAGCTGTACCCTGGATAATAATGGTGTGTGCCCAGATAAAAAAAGACAACATTAGGCATTAACTATAGCGGCACTGGTAAGGAACTTGATTACAGTGAGAGTGGAGTCTTTGTGATTTTTGCGACAGAAACATTATGATTTATGAGTCTTTGCAATGATATGTGTTATGATAAGATAAATGGTAATTATAGGTTTAGTTTGTGGTATTAAAGACTATAACAAGGTGTAAAAACCTGGAGTCAGCTCTGTGTGCAGACTCTTTCAGTGTTGTCACCACCCCTAGTGTACAGTACATAACCCTGTGCACTTAGAAGATCCCACGAATCCGTTGGTATATGACCAGATGGTGGCCTCATGAATACGTGCAAACACCTAGTTGCCGGTACAGCAACGTGCAGTGAACTTGGACATAGTGCTATGACTATGTGTCCCTGTCCACCCAACTGTGAGAAAGTCACCATAACTCGGTGCGCCTAGTGGCAGCAAGAGCTGCATACTCCCCGGGGAGTTGAGATTGATAATACGATGTGCCGTTGAGATTGACATCCAATGGTCGAGGGAAAAAAGACCAGCGCCTTGAGCATGCACTAGTTGCGTGGATATGTGCGCTATATAAATATCATATAATAATATAATCATAATAATATTCACAACGAATAATGTCAAGTTTTCCACATAACATTGTGTCATATATATCAATATTTCAATATTTCAACATCAGCTTCACTAAAATAACATTTTAGAAATGTCACAGAGTTTTTAACACTGGTAACGGAAAATTTGAGATTGAAAGATGATGGTAACGGAAAATTTTGTGTTCATTCAGAATAAGGAAGTGAGTTGTTGTGTTGTATATAAACATTTACTTGGCCAATAAAATGGTGTGCATCAGGTACTTTCAAGTCGCCCACATGAACAAGCCAGAAGATAAGATGATTTCTTCATTATCTCAAGGGGATTGTTGGTGTGCATCATGTACAATGCTTAACTAACATAGTCTGTACAGAACAATTATTTAACAATTTATGACTTTACAAGATTATCGAGGGTTTTCAGGGTAATAAAACTATATAAGTAAAGTGCTTGAAAACATTCTTAACTTCTCTAACAACTCAGTTCTCCACTACTCAGTATTCACTTGTAAACTAGGAGAGATAGGTATGAGTTGTTAGTGACTCTGGGTCAGCTCAAATATTACATTCATAGGGGTGGACAGCATGGCTCAGCTAATTAGTGTACTCATTGAGTCTGTCTTATGGGAAGTCTGTCTTTCGGGAGTGAACCGCGGTGGGGTAGCCAAATGGTTAAAGCTAAAGACCCGGATGGTTCCATTCCCCACATGGACAGAATGTGTGAATTTCCGGTGTCCCCCGCCGTGATTTTGCTTGAATTTTGCTAAAAGCGGCGTAAACCATACTCACTCACTCACCCATATACCCAGCAATTTTTATCATTTTTTTGTACTGGTTTGCAGGTATTTCGAGAGCCTCAGAAGGTGGTGGCTGGCTGGCAGTCCACCCCACGGCATCCGGCCCGTCTTGGGATCCGTCCACATCGTTGCCAACAGGGGCTTCGTCGACTATGCAATAAACAATCAGGTGGCCAAAGATTTGCTCAGATGGGTTAGATGGACCGATATTCCCGATGAAACCTTTTTCTCCACCCTCAACCACAACCCCCAGCTTATGATCCCCGGGACCTATATAGGTAAGTTAATTCATGGTTTTGTATCTTGAATCATCCGTACCTGAAGATTATATTTTGATGTGATTTAGACGGAAGAAAGGCAGCTGCCCAGTGATAAGGGACGGAAGAGTAGTCGAGCAGATAAAGCGTTTGACCAAGTTCTATACCGGTCATGGTCATTTGCGTCCCGTTATTAAACGGTTCTGAGTATTGGTAAACCGGAGTAAAACCTATTTGCATCTATTCAGCAATAAATATTCAGCAATAAATAACCTAATTCACAGTTTCTATTTCCTTGAAATAGCTGGTGAATATTTTAGATTTTGTCATAAAACAACAACTATTCGCTGGAAATCAACGTATTGAATTTTGTGAGCCCGCCCACTTCCTCCATGCACAGAAAGGCGTCCAAGTTCGCTTGTCACGCCGAAACCCGAGTTCGATTCTATAATGTGTGAAGCCCGTTTCTGGTGTCCGTCGCCATGTTTTTGCTGGATCATTGCTAAAAAGTGGCGTAGAACTAAACTCACTCACTCATTTCAGGAATCCCAGAAACGAATCCCGAGATCAAGCCCTTTTTGTCCCGTTACAAGATCTGGGACAACGGGTTCCACATCCTCCTGGACGACTGTCAAGGCAAGTACGTCCACGACATCTGCATCTTCGGAGTCGGCGATTTGCCCCGCTTCCAGAAACGCAAAGAGCTATTCGCCAACAAGTTCCACATTGACTTCGAGCCCCTCGTTTACGACTGTATGGAACAGAAATACTTCAACACTGTCAGGGAAGAACACCGAGGAATGTCCAACTTTGACGACACCTACTATAAATCTGTGGGTTTTGTTATCAGCCAGGTGAAACCCCAGTTGAATGAATTGTGATATTTGCCAAATTATAGACCTTAATATACTCATTTTTGTCGATCTCAACGCTGCACTTGCTTGCCTGACCCAAACGGGATCCTTTTGCGGGTACCGTATTTCCTCAAATAAAGTCCGGGGTTAAAGCAGCGGTTTAAGAAATAAGCGCCGGGCCTGGAAGTCCGTTGAAAAATATATGAGGAAATTCGGTATTTGTGTTGATCTACGTTTTGCTTTATTATACACATAGTCGACTATGTTTCAAGGGTAAAGTATTTTAAGGTTGAAGATTTCTTGGATTAAGTAAAAATATGAGAGTACGTCGTGTGTAAAAGATATGTTTATTGTCAGATGTGTTTCAAGAGCTATATGCATTGGTTCAAAGTTCTCTGTCAGTGCTGGGATATCAGTGCGCTGTACGTTAACACTATATTCACCGCTTCAATGTGTTTTAGGGGTAATAAGTATTGGCTCAAGATCTGTCTGTGAATGTGTATAGGGTCTGTAAGTCTCGCGAGGCGATACTTCCGGTAATGAGCTGGTTCCCGGTTCCCTTTGCGCGCGCCAACTTCCGATATGCGAGACGGGGCCCAGCTTACTTCCGGTACCAGATTTCAGGTGACAAGAGTATATTCAAGAACTATATTCAAGAACCAGCTCTGGTTCCAAATTGCGCGACCGCCAATGACTTTACTAGACCGAACCAAGTGTACAACCATGCTTGGCTGTCACAGCTGTTGATAGTCGTAATAGGTGGCTAATTTGGGGATCGGAAATTTGTTATTCCTGCATTTATTATTGGTTCCTTACTGTCAATTGACAACCATGAGACCATTCGAAAAGGTATGAAACGTTGATTGTCACCGGAAGTACTAAGGTCTCGCGAAGTGCCGTGACCTACTTACGGGCCCTTTAATTCATTGTTCAAATGTGTTCCAAGGGTAATACGCATTGATTCAAGACCTGTCAGTGAAACAACATATATGTACTGTTCGTTGACAATGTATTCACTCTTTAAGTGTGATTTAAGGGTAATATCTGTTGGTTCAATATTTCTAGCAACGAAGAGGTATAGAAAGGAACCGAAAGTGTTTAACTAAACCTGAGAAAACCATATCCTGATGAGGTAGACTCACTCAGGCTGTGGCCCTTGCGGTAGGAAATGAATGTTCTCTTTGCATCATTAGTTTCGGTGTTCTAGCATAGCTTAACACCTGCTACCTGTAGCATATGTGCCTCGTACTTACCAACAATAACATACCCTGACCTCAGAGAAAATATAGTGGTATTTTTTCACGTTATATGAATCTAATGTTATGAATATTCCACAATATAGTTTGTCATGCATCCACCGTGTCCTCCGTGTTCAGTTCGTGTACCACGGGGCGTCCATTTCAGACTGAAACAATCTTGCAATATATTGCAATAAAAAAAGAACCCAGTTGGTCTGTACGGAAGCCTATTAAGGCCATCCGTTTGTTTATTTTGCCAAGTTGAAATTTCAAGATACATATAAAGTTGAAATATCAAGACAATGATGTAGAAATGTCAAGATAGGAATTTAAAATAATATGTTGAAATGTTAAGTTACGATCTTGAAATTTCAAGAAAATAAATTGATATTTCAAGTTGGAAAGAAAAAACCGAATGGCCCTAAAAGGCACCCGTAGGTCTGGGCTACCCGTGACTTGTATTGTGTCTTCAGGTTCAATGCCTTCCCACACCTATTTTGGACGACTTGTGATTTGATTGTCTATCACTTTGACGTCATGAAATTAAGTAACAACGAAATAGCATACTTCAACTTTCAACGATAATTATTATTGTTTCGTTCATAACCGAGGGTAATAACTACCACATACACCTCTGCATCATGTATTCAACAGCCTTGTTGTGATGCTAGTCTACTGGTTCGTTGCGTTTCCTGTAACATCTCCCATGCTGATGTTGGTTCAGATATCACCAGTGGATAACGTCACATGTATTGACGTGACGTCACAAGTGTTGATGACGTCCAAACGTTACTCAAACAATAAATGATATATTGGTTTGTATTAACTGCAAGTTACCGCACCCTAACTGTACCCCACCTCTGGATCTACGGTAACGTTGGAATGATAGAGGTATCCCCAAAGCGAGGTACTCTTAGGGTAGGTTCTTGATTAGTGCGCGTGTGTGTGTTTGTGTGTATGTGTTCAACCAATTTATGTGTCAATCTCAATTCCACTTCGTGTCTTTTATACTTTGTCCAAATATATATGAACATATTTCATATATTCACATACATTATTTTAACAAGTGTGTTACATAACCTTAATACTTTAAGGTAACTGTCATTATATTATTCTTGGAATACTTGTGTTCCTTGAAAAGTTATTTTAAACATTGATCAACATTTTTTGTATAAAATACTCAAAAATGGCATTTATTCCTAGTATCTGTGTTTTCCTAAATCGACCACATGAGCAATACTGTCGACTGTGTATATACTGGAAGTTGTTAAATTTTGGTTACATGCTTTTTAAATTTGTCTTCAATGGTATATTGATACAATCATTCTTGCCAATGACGGTCGTCGTAGACGTCATACCGTATTTATGTATCTACAGCCATGATGTGAAGATATCTGTGGGATTTCTTCGATAGGAGTTATAGTTTGTTTCTTCTATTATTTTAAGTAACCCAACCTTCTGAACATACATAATTTATTAGAAATATGAGATAAAAATAATTATGGTTTTTGCACAAGATGCTTGATGTGAAAACATTTTGGTACACATGTATCTACTTTTGTTGACTATTATGTTAAAATATTTCACTTTGCTGTTTCACATGTTCACTTTTCTACTTCTATATAAATAAATGCTCATTCATCAGTTGTTTGTTTTTATCAGTGTTTATGTAGTTCCATTTTCAGGTACTTTCAAAATAGCTTTCAGTTAATTAATTATGTGACGTCGTAAGTCTTGGAGAGGCAGTGGGATAGCCTGGTTTGCTCGTCATGCCGAAGACCAAGGTTCGATTCACCATATAGGTACAAAGTGTGAAGTCCATTTTTGGTGTCCCCTGCCGTGACATTGCTAGTCACACGTCATCTCACGCCTAGACTACTGTAACTCCCTCGTGTCAGGAGCAGCAGAAATCCAACATCTCCAGCTTGTGCAAAACAGAGCTGCCAGGATCATAACCAGGACAAAATGTCAGGAACACATCACCCCTGTGCTGAGGTCGTTGCACTGGCTCCCAGTAAAGAGGAGAATACAGTACAAAATAATTTGCATCACCTACTCAACCCTCTATGACATCAATTCACCAGCTTACCTCAAAGACATCATCGAAATCTATCGTCCAACTCGTGTCTTGAGGTCTGAGAAAAGAGGCAGCCTGAAAATGCCAGCTACAAAAAACATCCATGGGAGACAGAGCTTTCAGTGCTGCTGCACCAGCTTTGTGGAACTCTCTGCCAGTTGAACTGAGATCAGTATCTTCCCTGGAAGCATTTAGGAGCCAACTAAAAACTCATCTTTTTCTAGCTACCCACTAGTTTCTCCACTTTCTCTGCACAGCGCCACTGAACAGCATCGGTTGGACATTAGGCGCTTAAACAAATGCATTATTATTATTAAAAGCGGCGTAAAACCACTCATTCGTAAGGCTGGTCAACTCATTGGATTGAGTGAGTGAGTTTTGTTTCACACCGCACTCAGCAATATTCCAGCTATATGGCGGTGGTCTGTAAATAATCGAGTCTGGACCAGACAATCCAGTGATCAACAGCATGAGCATCAGTCTACGCAACTGGGAACTGATGACATGTGTCAACAAGTCAGCTAGCCTGACCACCCGTTCTATAGATCAGTTTTAACCCGGTTCTTCACGGGTCAAAGATACGAATGAAGCCAGAGCCTTCAATGGGTGAAATGCTGACCACATAAGCGACTACTCGTCCAATCCAGCTGTCAAAACTGTCCAGTTGCTACATTACAAACTCAAAATCTGTGAAGATCCGGATCAGAACATACAGCAGAAGAAGCTCACATAGAAGTATATATGCTAACCGGTACCTCCCTTTCCTTAACAAAGGGCTTAGGATTTAAGATAAATTATATCCAAATTATACATTTGGAACCAATCTCCGGCGATGATGTGCTACTCGCTCAGTCAAAACAGTTGAACCGAGTGGTCCCCGCTAGAAATGTTCTTCAACCACACAAGCTTCACGTAAGAATCCGCTTTGAGATAGGGTGGTCAGGCTCTCTGACTTGATCGATGCATCAGAGCTTTGAAAATTGTGTCAGCGGACCACTAAAAATCAGCGAAAACACTTTCTGTGACATTATACAGCTCAAAACTGGTGTCACCTCGTCCATGGCGACCACAAAACCTCGCATTGATCCCGAATTACAATGTATAACGACACAGTAGATGTATCACGTACCGCGGATCCTCACAGAGAGCAGCTGCTGTAACAGCATCTGCAGCTACTTAGCGTGTACGTTAACTAGACAACTAATACACCATTAACACACATTTCACATACTGGTGTAATATTTGTAATGCAGATGTAAGTCGACTGCACACGTGCGAAACCACAGTGCCCCAATACAGCTTAAATTAGTGATATTTTGCAAACAAAAAAAAAGTCTTTTTGAAGTCAGTTAAATAAAGATGTTCAAATAACACCACGAAATCGAAGAATGCTTAAAAATAGATGTATACAAGTTTGAATACACGTAAAATGATTTTTTAATGAATTAAGTCATGCGGCAAAAAATATACATTGAATGTACGTGCAGAAATTATATTTCTAAGATTTAGCGTCAAAGCTGTGTGTTATATATTTCTCAAAGTTACTTACTTCATTAATTCAAATCCTTTTAATGTGGTTTGCTCATGTCGTTAGGCAAGTCTTTTAACAGCTCACGCAGGTCTACACATTTGAATATGTGAAATAGTTTCCTCGTAAATAATGCATTCAAGTTGCAACAGCTGCAGTGAGAGGGCCAGGAAGGTAATTGCCTCACTTGTTTGATTGCTGCCTTTATTATATTGAGTACAATATTGATAGTCTTCTTAAATTTTTTCTTTCATGCCTGTCAATATTTTATTAGTTTAATGCCAAGCCATGCAAGATAAGTTTAAATAAAGTTACTTAAATGTCGTAATAATCAATATCGGACTTTGGTCTTCGATTTTCAGGGTACTTGGCGCTGTGGGTAGTGGTTCCTTGCTTTGTCTGTTTCCGAATTAACAAGTCCCCGTGATATATACGGTGTATTCCCATACTGCCTACAGTTCCAAACTGGTTAAAACAACATGATACGGTCCAGTGATCAGGAAGTGAAAACACCGATCTGAACTGTTCTACCCCTGCTAAAAGGAACTTGACTAGTTAGCTGGTTAATTCTATGGTGTCTTCCCACTCTGCCTACAGAAGTTTAAAAAAATGACAATGTTGGTTGGTAGGACATCTTTATTCATTCTGAGAATTCTCAGACTTTACATGGAGACATGGATTTATCATGAAAAACTGATAGGTTTTACAGTCTTTCACTGGTTTTACAGTCTTTTACTTGTTTCACAATTACACACAACTGACAATCACTTTGCAAACTTGATGAGATATCCAGCAGCATCAAGGTACTGAAGAGGCGTTTTTCTGCCGCTCTGGAGGTGCTCCTTCAGTCTCAGAAGTCTCGCATCGATCTCTCTGTAAACACGCTTGCGTGACTTGGGGAG